TGGCTCACCTTTTAGCTCTTTTCCCCCAATTTGGAAAACTTCCATTGCTTGCTATGCCACAACCAGCCACTTTGTATCTTGGTGCACTGTAACTTCAAAAGTTTATACCAAACTGAAGAACAAGTCCTTGCACCTGGTGGAGGCAAATTGTCTGATTTCAGTGCTTCTGTGAAACGTGTTTATTGATAAAAACAGGGCTGTTCACACACCGAGCAAACCTAAACTGGGAAGATTTGGGATGACCACACTCTGATTCCTTTTGCTAATGTAATATATTGGTCCATATTCTAATACATTGATCCCTTTTGCAAATCTAGCCTGTTTCAGCTCCACGGTGCCTGCTGGCACCTCATTTGCCTGCAGATACAGAGGTGGAACACAGAGGCTGTGAGAGTCAGCCCACTGACCCAGACTTCATATGAACTGACCCAGAGTTCATATGGGCTCCAGGAGAAAGAGAACAGGGTGATGCCTCAGGATATTTTTTGGAATCCAAACATATCTTCAGGAACAAAACCACTCACATGATTACATACACATATATATATACAAACAGCAAAGAAAATTGTACCTATTAATATAAATAAAGAAAAATTATAAAGAGTATAAAATATAATACAGACTTGTAACAGAGCAGACTGTGAGTCCTTTATAGAGACAGATAAGAAGTTTACCCCTGCTGAAATGTGACCATGACATCATTTTCCTCAGAGCATCCTTGAGCTCCTGGTTCCTCATGCTGTAGATGAGGGGGTTCAGTGTTGGAGGCACCACTGAGTACAGAAATGAAACCACCAGATCCAGGGATGGGAAGGAAAGAGACGGGGACCTCAGATTGGCAGATATACCAGTGCTGAGAAAGAGGGACACCACAGCCAGGTGAGGGAGGCACATGGAGAAGGCTTTGTGCCGTCCCTGCTTGGAGGGCAACGCCAGCACAGCCATGAAGATCTGCACATAGGAGAAAAGGATGAAAACAAAGCATCCAAATGCTAAAGAGGCACTGACCAAAAGAAGCCATATTTCTCTGAGGTAGAAATCTGAGCAGGAGAGCTTGAGGATGTGGGGGATTTCACAGAAGAACTGATCTACAGCATTGCCATGGCAGAGAGGCAGTGAAAATATATTGGCAGTATGCAGCAGGGAATTAAGGAAACCAGTGCCCCAGGCAGCTGCTGCCATGGTGGCACAAGCTCTGCTGTC